AGGCGTAGTATGATATTTATTTTAAAACATACTGGTTTATTCTATTCTATTGTACGGATCAGTGAGCACAGTGATCATTACCTGTTCAAATGGGACACTCCTGGCCAGCAGCTTGATGAGATCTCTGGCTCTCACGATGGCATAAGGGTCAAACGTTTTCTTGGTGGTGTGTACCGTGATGCTTCCCTCAATCAGGTCCAGAGAGGCTTTGATGTGCTGAGAAGAAAAAAAAAAAATCCATGTTATACAAGACTCAAAAACTGAACTGCACAGTACTATCTGGGGAGGCTCAGGAGGTAGAGTGCATGAATGTTTAGTGAATATTTTGCTTCATCTCAGAAGCATCATGCTGCAGCAACAAAATTATTATTGCTAAAAGTTTGAATTGATCATAAACTTAACTGGTTATTTAACTCAAGTCATTTATCAGTTAAAAATATATATTATTTTAATTATGTAACATATCCACCAGCCAAAAATATCCCTTCAGAAGTTAATTTGGCTGCTTGTTCTGTTGCACGGATAAACAGCATCTTGCATTTCAAAGCCAAATATTGGAATAATTGGACTATATCCATAAGACTGCTGGGTTCACTGTAGATCAAATAAAATCAGCCATGTGGAGACAATTATAATGTGTAATATGATATTTTGTGGCCCAAATTAATGATAAAAAAAAAATCTATAGGACATTAGAACTTTTAGTGGCAGCTCTAATCAGCACAAAGAAGTTCTTTACATCTTTATAAGTTCTATGATACAAAATGGGGGAGAAAATGATAAAATTACTTCAACCAGATTGAGCTACATAATCATAGTCCAACTCTTCAAATCGTCAGTGCTATTGCAGTGAGATCAAATACCTGCAATTATTTCCTTCCAAGCTTCCGTGAAATGTGTAACTTAAGAGTCCTTTTTATAATCTTTGTACAGTTTTGTCTTTCTCTCTCTTTTCTCTTTCTTTGCGAATGTATTTCTCTAATAAAACTCATTCAGGAAGTTTACAGTCTGTTTGCAGCAGTTTGATCAGTGCGAGCTTTTTCCTGAAACAGTGAACTTACTGCCTCTCCTAAGGCCTTCTCCACGAGCGGCCAGCACTCTTTCAGGTAGGCTTCTCTGTATTTGGGGAAGAGGGTGGCGAAGCTGCTCTCCTCCAGCAGACCTCGGGGGTTGTCGTCTTTGGTGAATGCAGGCTCCTTCCATCCATCAGGAACGGTCAAGAGTTCAGATTCATCCACTGCATGACACAGACAGAGTCATGGACTGTTCAACATGTGTTCTTTTCATACAACTCAAATCCTGCCAGGAACATTAACATGGAGGGAACAAGCAGGAAACTTGAAACAACTTGTACGTTTGTAAAGTCTGAACACAGCAGGGCGACGATGGCGTCCAACCCGTTTTAAAGGTAAAGTGCTAATGTGTAGTGGTGACTTTGGCTTTGCTTTGCCTGCAGTAAAACAAACGATATAAATATTTTCCTGTATTACTCGGTGTGAACTCGAAACGTTCATGAAACACATGAAACACAAGACAGCTCACATGCTAGCTCAACGCTAATTCATGCGTGCCTTTAAACTGACTGACGTAAACACGCTAATTATCCGACAAACCTCCGCCCTGCTTCACAGACAGTGGGTCGCTGGGTGTCGGTTAATAGCGTTCAACTCCGGAGCATCCATAACTTACCTTGGTTTTTAGTCTTTTGGGATTTTTTCCCTGTTTGAGCTTCACTCACGCCGTCTCCTGCCGTGGAGGACGCCATTGTTGAGCACAAGCGGAAATGACGCAGAGACTCTTCTTCGTGTGAGTGTCTTCTTCTTCGGGTTTTTAAAGCCAGTTTAGGCTCATTACGGCCCCCTGCTAGACTGGAGTGTGCTTCACTTTGGTAGTCTACTGCAGCTTACTGCTGCCACACGACACAAAACAGATGTTCACTATGTCGTTTTATCCTGGTTTTTTCTTGTCACACGTAAATGAAACCCATGAAACATGGCCGTAGCTAAGATTTTAAATACAAAGGTCTTCAGATCCCCCTGGTAGTACTCACACCTTTGACCTGACACTAAAGCTATACCAATGATAGATTTGTAATATTTGATTGAGTTTACCTGTAAACATCATTCTCCATTGTGAGTGTCTAAATACTGAATATATTGACTACGAAATACTGGAACCAACCTAGTTTTTGGATTGTAGAATGAACTTACCTCATGATTTCTGAGGATTACATCCTACTGAAACAAAGTGTTTGCATCAGTCCTGTTCTCTAATTTCAAACTGTTCTCCTCTTACCAGTTTGACCTTTTTCAAATCCTAAATATCACCTTCATTATTTCATGTGTAGTCCTCCTGCTGCATCCACTTTCAAAAGGATTTTACATGAGAAATAGTGTAAAGTGTATACACACATTAAGATTTATTAAGTTTAATTTTTTTTAAATATTGTTCTGTATCATTACCGTGAATTATCTCCACAATGAACAAAATACACTTACAGGTGGTGTTCCAATCATTTTATTGGCGCCGTAGTTGTTCATAGTAAGTCATGATTGCTTTAGTTGCACTCACTGAGAGAACGGTTAGTCCCAAAAGGCCTACAGATCCGGCTACAATGGAGATCATTGTCATGTGCTCTGTCCCTGCAAAGAGATAGACACAAGGATTATATTAACTCTGTATTCAGAGTGCACACATACATTCTCACATTGAACTGTACGTTAATGTTAATAAACCCCACAACCTCAAACAAACTGTGAGAGATATATTGGTTTTTATCAGTATACAGCAGTCAATCATTTCTATATAACGAATAAAACTAAAATATACAAAAGTCTTTATTTAAAGCATTCAGATTGTAACATACACAATCAGTTGCAGTTAGGACCGGTGATGCAGCTCCTCTTTTTCTAATTGAAGTATTAAGTATTAAACCTTACCCCTGAAAACATCATGTGCACTGATCATGTAACAGTATGTTTAGGTATTCTGCACTGAGCATCTGCTCAGTTTCCATGACTTAACTCACAGTAAGACGGTGGGACTCCCGACTTCCCCCTCTTGTTGACCACCAGAGGTCCAGCAGAGACAACAGCAGCTTGTTTCCTCCTTTGGTCCATCTGGCTCACTGACCTCTTGCTGCGCTGCTGGCTGGGGCAATTCTATTACAAAACCAGGGTCAGTTGGTGATTTTTATGGCGATTTCACATAAAAAAAACATATGATGAGCTTTAAAAAAAAAAAAAAAAAAAAGACAAAACCTGATCCCGGACGTCTAAAGTTGTGGAGACTAAATGCGGACCGTTACCCACGGATGGCAAAAGTGCTTGCTGTGCATCCATGTCTCATCAACTTTTTCAGAGTGCATCATTCTCCTCATATTTCTGGACATTTCTACATTTTGCGTATAATGCTTTTGCACTACTTAAAAAGGTGGAGTCAACGATTCTGGAGACAGATTGTTGATATTTGAACTTTGAGCACGTTAGCATGTGTAGCAGGTGCCAGATTTATTGTCCATCTTGCTCCTGCTGTTTTTAGGAATGTATGTTGTACATCCTCCTGCTAGCGGTGGGTGTGCACAGTATACCTGTGTACCACTACAACACTGATGTCAGCCCCACATCAGACAGCAGGACTTACATCTGGAAACTTCCTGGGCAACATTACAGGCTGAGGAAGGTCACGAATATTACACAGCGGTGCAGAGACCAGTACCTGGCATTGGCCAGTGGCAGGAAGAGCTGAAAATAGGTCAACGGGTAATTGATCCAAAACATGAGCAGGTCTATCTCCTTGGGACGACCCTTCAGTTTACCTTTGCACAGTCTTCATCATGTCCACATATGTTGGCCAGGCAGTGGATGTAGATGGGCAACCCTTTGGGCATGGTGAACATCTGAATGGAAAATCTGCTTCTCTGTTCCCGGCCGTTATCAGAGAGCCAGTGGAACGTGGGGTCAACAGGACAGCTGGGGACAAGAGAGGATAACATTTATTACACACTGTAAAGACACTTATCATATTTCTACTTGAGCGTTAGGTTACCACATTATAGCTTAGCTCCATTTAACATTTATCTTAGTTATTTAGATAGAGAAAGTTAGGATAGAAGCCTCAAAGCTACATTATAATTGTTATTGGTTTCCTCCCCTGCATAAAGGCATATAGACCACCCAAAGAGAAACTGGGCACAGAGCTGCATTCAGAGGAAAGGGGAACAACAAGCACAGGTGGAGGTAAAGCTGAGAATTTTATGATGCATCCGAAACAAGTGTACATTTACATAAGCAAAATGAGAAGTCAGTCCATCAGAGTCACATTTTCCCCTACCCATCCTGAAGAAGAACCCCCTGGACTGTGTCCTGTGGGTCGGTGCTCTCGGTGGCCCAGCATGACTCCACCTGAAGGAGCACGTCTGAAGCCAGAGAGTTATTGGTCTGCAGGGCTACCTGGAAGAACAGGGTGTCCTCAAGCTCCAGGGCTATGGCATCCCTGTGGCTCTGGGTGTATGACCTGTCGGTAAACAGGGTCATGCTCAGGCCCAGCTGCAGTGATGAACTCAACTCCACCAGGGAGAGGGAGGAGAGCCTACGTCAAAAGAAATTATGCTTTTAGATGTTTCTGTCTTTTTTTAAATCAGGCCAAGAGACAAAATTTGAGGATGTTTTTCTCACCACGCCACATCCACGCTGACTTGAGCGTTGCGAACATAATGTCGTGGGTAGACACACTTCAAAACGACTTTTAGATCCCATCGGCTGATGGTTTGCTCTTTGGTCAAGGTCACAGTCAGGGTGTTTAGGAACTCAATGTGAGTTTTGTTGACCTGGACAATCACAACACAGCATATATCAAAAAGGGCAGAATAGATTAAGGTAACTAATGCACTTTGGCATCTGTTGCCAGTAAAAAAGCCAGCATAATGCCCTTTTAACCATTTTTAAACACTTCATTATTCAGATATACTGTTATATGGTGACACTACTTACGGTGACCTAAATGGCTCTGGGAAAAAGTTACAGTATATCAGAGATGCAATCCTACCTAGAATTTTGTAATTAGTTACTGTTAGTAGTTACTTCTCTCAAAAGTAATTCAATTAATTTACCAATTACTGCATACACTTCTTTTGTAATGTGTTACTATTCAATTCAATTTTATTT